AGGCGGGTTGTGTGTAACATTATCGCTCACCCCGCTAAACGTGAATGTTGTGTCACATTATCATTTACTTCAGTAGGCGGGTTGTATGTAACATTATCGCTCACCCCGCTGCTATAACTGCGGCGTTAATAATGTTCGATTTTGAGCTTATCAAAACACAATAACATTGCTTTATAATCTTTGTATTATATAGATCACTAGAAAGATCAGGAACACACTATTGACATGTACAATTTATGATATAAATTGATGAAATGAATAATCCGATTATCTTTCAGGAGTTTTAGAAGATGGAAATGCATCAGAATACACTCTATTACCTTTTTATAGTAGCTGTGCTTCCTGCGTTTTTTAAATGCGCTGCAGATGCACAACCTCCAAAATACAGCGACCTCGGTGAGTAAAATTGTTCAGATATTAAAAATCACTTCTATATCTGAGGACATAAACTTGTGAGAATTCTTGTTCAAATTATTGTATTAATACATATATTTACGTCCACTGTTGGTAATACTTTCCGTAGTCTAGTATTATATGCATTACTCGCATTATTTTTTTGTTCAAGTTCGGGAAAATAACACCTCTGCAGAATGTGATCTATTTAAACAAGAACATAAATCATTAATATTATCTTGGAAAATGTCCACAATTTATCATATCAAAGATATCAATTGAAACATTAAGGATCCGATGCTTATATCATTGCGTTACATATTTTTTTCTATCTGATCCTCGACAGTAATTCAATTGTCTTTCCATGTAGACTGTATGCTTTTTTTTTTATTATATTCCTTTATTTCCTTTGCCGATCAGGAGATTTATTTTTGCTATTTTTTTCACAGCTTGTGACGGAGACGGACACATCAACCTAACAGTTACGGACTCAATAAAATCAGTTGTTTCAAATTGCACAAGTGTATCGCAAATTTTCGTCACTGTATTAACAGCTGACAAAACTGTAACCGTCGACAACTGCCCATTGGTAAGTATAATATTTAACCATACATACACACGTTTACATTATTAGGTACTCGTTAGGAATAAGGTTTTTTGATGTTATGACCAAATCATCAGTATCAGGAAACTGTATGTTTACTGCTGTACACACTTTATTCCTTACGTTCAGTTTTCACAATTTATTCCTATTTTTATTTCGATTATAGTAACTAACAATAAGGTTGTATCCGATAGGAATATTTACATAAACTTTTATTTTGGGTTTACTACAGAACACACACGTGAAGATTTTGATGTTAGAACACAACGTGGATAATAATCTGGATGACCAATTAGACTCTAGAAGAGTTGGTGAAGCTATTGATGTTATGTGCAATGGCAAAGGTCTCAAAGTGAATACAGCGATTATTAAGTAAGATTCCCACGTAACAAGTCAGCAAAGGACTATGGTATTGAAGAACCAATGTAAGGCATTAGAAAAGAATCAGATGATAACATGAACAATGGAGAAACTAATCCCGAACGGGGGACAAACGTTTTTAAATAATTACTATCACGATAGACACTATTCTATGAGAAAAGAAGGCAGACCATTTAATCAAAATAGTTAATCTTAGTCTCAACAGGCCACAGTAAAAATTTGTGTAAGATTGTCAATTTATCTAGTGTACATTGTGACGTCACGTTTCTATTGTAGTGTGATGACATGTAATTGTGAC